AGAGGCTAGCGAATTTTGGGAATGATGAGGGCAACAAATGTATAGATGTGCTTTACACAATTGATCTATGTATTGTGATGAATTGTATGAGCCCCAATTAAAAAAAAAAAAGAAAAAAAAAGATTTATAGTCTCTGAAATTCTATATTGAGTCACTATGAGTCAGAACCAACTCAATGAGAGAGAGCTTTTGGGTAGGAGTCCTAGTGGTTGCTAACCAATAGGTTGGCAGTTCAAACCTAGCAGCCACTCTATGGGAGAAAGATAAGGCTGTCAGCTTCTATAAAGATTGAGGATTTCCTATCTCTGAAACTCAACGGAGCAGTTCTACTCTGTCTGATAGGGCCACTATGAGTCAGAATGGACTCAGTGACAGGGGGTTTTGTTTTGGACACCTGGTGGCACAGTGGTTAAGTGTTTGGCTGCTAACCAAAAGGTGAGTGTTCTCACCCATCAGCTGCTGGGAGAAAGAGGTGGCAGTCTACTTCTCTAAAGATTTACAGCCCTGGAAGGCCGTTCTACTCATAGAATAGGGTTGCTGTGAGTCAGAATGGACCGGGCAGCACCAGGTTTGGCTTGTATACACACAGACAAAAGGAACCATGGTGGCCAAATGGGTAAGTGCTCAGCTGCTAACCCAGGGGTCAGAGGTTTGAACCTACCAACCAGTGCTCTTTGGAAGCCTAGACCTGGTGGCCTGCTTCTGTAATGATTACAGTTTTAGGAACCCTATGGGACAGTTCTACTCTATCACTTGGGGTCATCACGAGTCTCAATCGACTTGACAGCACACAACAACACCGCCCCCCCCCAACAATACCAACAAAACATAACTCATTTAAAAATATAAGAAGATGAAAAGTATGGGAATTAAACATTTGGATTTATGGGGGAAATTTTTGCACATGCAAAAGTATGTAAGATATTACTATGCAAATCTACAAGAGCAGAAAAGGCTGATTGAGTGAATCCTTTTTCTAAATAGTAACACGAGGAATAAAAAAAACCCAACAATACTTTAAAAAGGTTACATCTCCCAAACCCAAATTCATTACCATCGAGTCAATTCATATCGACCCTATGGGGGTTTCTGAGATTGCAACTCTTTATAGAAGTAGAAAGCCTCATCTTTCTACCGTGGAACAGCTGGTGGGTTTGAACTAGTAACAGTGTAGTTAGGAGCCCAGTATACAACCCACTACATCACCAGGGCTCCATTTTGATGGGTGAGGAGGAGGGTAAAGAGAAAGAAATGGAACGGTTCTATAGGTTTGGCATGACTGTGACCTAGGATGTTTTAGCTTTTCAGAACTGATAATAAAGAGAAGCAGAGATGACCTATGGAATTAAAAGCACACACATATTAGAGACCATCAAAAGAATCTGAGTTTACTTTCATGTCTTCCTGGGTGACCAGAACACATAAAGACATGACCACAAAGGCTTCCTTAGCATTCAAGTTATGACCCTTTGAATAGAAAACTCAGGAAGATCTCTGGGAGTTTTGATTGACTTACAATAGATCCGAAGCATGTCGTCCTTGTGAGGTGCCATCAAGTCAACTACAACTCATAGCAATCGCCATGTGGCAGAACCAAACTGCCCCATAGAATTCGCTCTAATTATAATCTTTCCAGGAGCAAATTGCCAGGCCTTTCCCCTTATGGAGCCAGTGGGTGCGTTAGAACTGCCAACTTTTCAGTGAGTAGTTGAGCACTTCACCACGGTGCCACCATTGGACCAGTCGATGAGATGGACTGACACAGTGGCTGCAACAATGGGCTCAAACACAGCAACAATTGGGAGGAGGGCCCAGGACGGGCCAGTGTTGCCTTCTGTTATACACCGGGTCACCGTGAGTCAGGACCGACTCTATGGCACCTAACAACGACACATAAAGAATATATTTGGATATCTGGAGCCTAATTAATAAGTATAATATAGACTGATCCAAATGGTTTAGCTGGCTCACATTATGTTTCACTATTTAGAGTATTTAATAGGATTTATCTAGAGGCTTAAGGAGCCACGGTAGTGCAGTGGTTAAGCACTCGGATACTAATGGAAGGTCGGTGGTTGGACCCCACCTATTGGGTCTCCAGGAGAAAGACCTGACAATCTACTCTAGACAACAGCTTAGGGAAGCCTATGGGGCAGTTCCACTGTTGTACGAGTGACTGTCAATACCATGTAGACACTAGGAACTCTTCAGCAGAGTGTTGCTAGAACTAAAAGGGACTCCAGATCATTTCTGAAGAGCAAGCATGTCTTCCACCCAACCCAACCCAACCCACTGCCAGAAGTTGCATTCTGACTCATAGAGACCCTTTACAGCAGCGGTTCTCAACCTGTAGGTCGTGACCCCTTTGGGGGCGGAATGACCCTTTCACAGGGGTCGTCCGATGCATTACAATAGCAAAATGACAGTGATGAAGTATCAATGAAAATAATTTTATGCTTGGAGGTCACCGCAACATGAAATGATTGTATGAAATGGTTGCGGCAGGAGGAAGGTTGAGGACCACTGCTTTAGAAGGTTTCTGGGACTGTAAATCTTTATGGACACAGAGAGCCTCCTCTTTCTCCTGCAGAGAACTGCAGATGTTGCCATGAGCAGCCCGGCGCTTATCCAATAGTGTTGAAGCATAACTCACCGATGATGAGATGCAGTAGAGGAAAGGGGGGAACCCAGGACTCTGAGCCCTCAATGCAGAGCCCTTTCTAAAGCTCCACGAGGTATGTGAAGGTAATGGGCAACGAGGTGCTAATGGGAACTCGTGTCTTTGGGGTTAGCTTACCTTGTCATCCCAAAGTCAGATACTTTCACAGACAGATCGCTGTCCACCAAGCAGTTCCGAGCAGCCTTTGGAGGAAAACCAAAACCGCCAAATATTAAAAGTGCCCACGAACTGCCTGACATCAGTGTCCAAGCTTTTGCTCCTCTTTCTCAGAAGGCTGTGCAAAATCGATGGACGCTCACAACCCCCACGCCCGGAAGTCGTCTGCATTTCCTTGGCCACTTTCCAAAGTGGACGTGTGCTCCTGGCAGCCACCCATCCATCCCTGCTGGCCATCCTGAAAGATGTGCCACATCAAATACAGAGGCTCAGTTCGTAGAGGAAGATGGAGGAAGGGTTGTTAAGGGCTGGCTCTCCACCTCTAGGATGCCACCCATTCCCAGAGGCACTGAGAAAGGTGAGGCCATTTACGATCTCTTGGAAAGCGCTGGCTTGGGAGGCATAATTGCTGTACCAGAGCACATGGGGATTCACTAGTCTCGCATGCAGGTCATGTTTGCTCTTCAGTACCAGCAACTCTCCCAAGAGAAGCCCCAGTGATCACAAGCATCCCTCCCACCCAGAGATGCCCACAAATGGCATTTCCTCTTAGTTTTTGTATTTTCAGTTATTGCATCAAGTGACTACTTTCGCTGAAAGCCCTTCCAGGAGCAAAGGTCAAGTTGGGGTGAATGCTGCTAAGTAATGCTCCATTGGCCCAGGTCTTTCCATTTCATCCCTTCTCCTTTTTACCACGGCCCAATGAGAGCCATTTCAATGGCTTCTTTTCCCCTTTTCTGTTCTTTGATATTTTCCTCCCCATCTGCATGTCGTGTATTTGATTTTTAAAAAGAATTTTTGATTACAGAAGTGTCATGTGCTGGAGCAAGTCACAACTGATGAATGTCAAAGTGAAGGTGTCCCCCTCAAGGTCCCTCCTCATGGACGTTGGAACCATGGGAACCTTTCTGTCCTCACCTTCAGCTTCCCAGGGCCTGGCTTACCAAGTCTCGGTGTATAAATTGGTGGCTCTCCAAGAAGGCCATGCCTTCACACACGTCATAGCACATTTCTAAGAGCTGGGAGGGCTCCAGTCCTTTGCCATGGCTCTTCAGGTAGTTCAGCAAACAGCCGTTGGTTATATATTCAGTCACTATATAGATGGGGTATCTCTTGGAACACACGCCGTAGAATTTAACCAGCTTGGGATGGCTGAGTTTCCTGGAAGTAATACATTTCCAAAGGTCAGTTTTGAATTTTCCATACTCAGTGTTCTAGATGTTCTGGAAAAGAACCCCTCTGAGATTTTTTGTTTGTTTGTATTGTTAGGGTGGCTGTTTTCATCTCCCCCCCTGGTGGTGTAGTGTTACACATTCAAATACCAGTAGCAGCTCCGTGGGAGAAAGACGGGGCTTTCTACTGTAAAGAACAACCGTTTCAGAAACTCACAGGGGCAGTTCTACCCTGTCCTATCAGTCACTATGAGTCGGCATCCACTCGATGGCAAATGGCGAATGAGTCGCTTGAACAGAGAGAGACAAAAGCCTGAGAGTGTACGCTTAGCTCTCACGTGGGAAAACATTTGCCCTGGGCGGTGCAAACAGTTTACCCTCGACTGCCAACCAAAAGGTTTGAACCTCAGAAATAAAGGTCTGACAATCTGCTTTGTAAGAGTGGAAGGTTTGAAGCCATCTGGAGCCGTTCTCCTCTGAAATACATGGGGTTGCCACGAGTCTCAGCGGACATGGCAACTGGCTTGTGCTTTTGTGGCAAAACACGTTTGAACATTCCACCAGGGTACAGGGTTCGCTCCAGGAGACTATGGAAGCTTCTGCCAGATTCTTCTGTCCAACTGCTTTGCAGGGCTCCACTTATCTATCCAACTAGGCCCTCTGCTCAGGTCAAGGAGACCACCAAGCCTATCCACCCCCTTCTTGACCATCCTTGGGGTTCTACGATTCAGGGGTTCCCCATCCACATAGACTTTCAAAGTCTCTCTCCAGGGGCTTAGTCCTCCAAGGGTGGAGAATACCACCGGGTATCCAGCCTACGCCAAGAGGGATGGTAGATACATAGTTCTTGGTGGGGGCCACAGAGAAAGTGTAGATGTACTGGATGCAGTTGGGAGTGGGAGCAGGCCAGTGGACCAGGGACATGGGGTGAGGGGTGGGGGGCATAGTCCAGAGGCTGATTTCTCTAGAGCAGGGGTCCTCAAACTTTTTAAGCAGGGGGCCAGTTCACTGTCCCTCAGACTCGTTGTAGGGCCGGACTACAGTTTAAAAAACTATGAATAAATTCCTATGTACACTGCACATATCTTATTTTGAAGTAAAAAATCAAGCGGGACAAAAACACCCGGTGGACCGCATGTGGCTCATGGGCCGTAGTTTGAGGATCCCTGCTCTAGAGAGTCTTGAGAATCCTAATTTCCAACAAAGCACTTCAGGTGGTTATGAAGGTAATTTGTCAAAGTAGCAGCATAGAACTGTTTTATTGGAACACTGTTAGCTCGATTTAGAACCTCTATGTATTTATACCTAGGTCATGCAGAGAATTGCTCTAGACATTGCAAATGTCAGGGATTGACCTCTGAGTGCTAATGCATTCTCATCTCATCGAAATCAACCAACCAGCTCTGTGCCCCGTGAGTGGATTTGGACTCATCGCACCCCTACGTGTTCTAGAGAACGATGTCTCATCAGGTTTTCTCAGATGTCATCATTACATAAGCAGTTCACCAGGCCTGCTTTCCTTGGTGCCATTGGGTGGGTTTGAATTACCAACCTTTTGGTTAGCATTCCCGTGCAAGACCAATCATGTCCCTTGAGCATGATGCCTTCCCATGGTGAGAGCTAAGCTTCCACTCCTCAGAAGAAGCTTACATCATGGTCTGCGCCTCCTGGAAGAATTCATCTTCGGACATGGAGCCTTCCTTGATCATTTTGACGGCAATGTCGTACTTGCCCTTCCACTTGCCCAGCTGGACTACTCCGAACTGCCCGCTGCCCAGCTCCTTCAGCAGGCTGATATCTTCACGCTTCAGTTCCCAGACACCTAAGAGGACAAGGCAGATGCTCTTTAGGACAAGCTCAGAGGGCTGGGGAAGCTAACAGCGTCCCAAAGGATCACCTTTGGTGAGAATTCACCCAGGCCGTATGCAAAGCAGCAAGACTTTAAGAAAAAAAAAATCATCAGCTAAATAAAATCTACAACATCATTAGCCAACCTTAGGTGACCCCAGGACAACGCCTCCCCAAACAACACTGTTCGTGAAGCAGCTACAGTTATGGCCCAGGGGGCGCAGAGTGAAAACACAGCTACCCGTAGACCTCTGTGAGAGACTTCCTTTCCAATGTTTTTGAGGCCCTTAGCAAACCCAGTTCATTGCTATCAAGTGGATGCCAACTCTGAGCAACCCTACAGAACAAGAGTGGAATTGTCCCCCAAGGTTTCCCAGGCTGTCATCTGTACAGGAGCAGACTGCCACATCCTTCTCCCACACAATGGCTGGTGCGTTTGAACTATTGTTCACTGCTGAGTGCGATAGCCATTGCACCAGCTGGGCTCTTTTGGTGCCCTGTGACCCTATAGGACAGTGTAGAACTGCTCCTTAGGATTTTTTGAGTAAATCTTTATGAAGGCAGACAGCCTCGTCTTTTTGTCAAGAAGAAAGGGGAGGGAGGGAGGAGGGCACCGATCGCGATGAATGGCACATAACCACACATCTCCAGCCAGGGGGAAGAACAACAGAAATCAGAGGGGAAGGGAGACAGCAGTTGGTGTGAGATTTGAAAAGAATTAACAATCTACAATGTATCAAGGGGCCACAAGAGTTGGGGGGGGGGGAGAGGAGCTGATCCCAAAGGCTCAATGGAAAGTAAATGTCTAGAAAAGAACAATGGAATATATGTACATATATGTCAGACACAATTAATGTCTGGTTTATAACAAGAGTTGTAAGAGCCCCCAATAAAATGATTAAAAAAAGAAGAAAGTGGATAGGTTTGAACAGTCAATGGTTCCATTAGCAGAACAACGGCTGATCCACTTTGCTACCAGGGCTCCTGTGATGCCCCTAGGATGGGAGAGTATTGTAGAGTATCCTCCTGAACACACGTGGTTGAAAGCTGGCTCCTGAGCAGGCCGGGGCACTGACCCCACGAAGAAGAAAAGATGAGCGGCGAGGCACTGGAGGGGAGGAGCAAGCCCAGTGAGAGGCAGAATTTGACTACTCTCTTTGTCATGTTGGGGGGATTACAGATGTAGGCGAGCGGGAGGATGGCATTGGTTGTCAAGGGAATGAGCATGTATATTAGTGCTGAAGTCCACCCATCCGGACACAATTGGAACAGATACCTCCTGCCCATCATTGACCTTTATCAGGCAATTGATCACTTTTTTTAACAAAAAGAAAGAAATAAAAAGGCGAGACATGGAGTTTCAGAGCCCAAGGGTGTGTCCATACCACTTCCCAGGGGTGCAGAGATGGGGACCTTGTTGGTCTTCGTCGACACAGGGTGGCGGAGCCGGGTGATCATGCCTGTAATGGAAATAGCATCATCTCATTACACCCCATGACATTTCATCTCATCCCACCCCACCCCACCTCAACCCATACCATCCCAGCTTATCCTATCCCTCCCAACACATTACATCACTGCATCCCATCTCACCTCACCCCATTCTATCCCTCCCCATCCCACCCTATCCCACCCCATTCTCTCCACTCTATCCCATCCCATCCCACTCTATCCTGCCCCATTCCCATCTCATCCCATCCCACTCTATCCCACCCCACTCTCCCTTCCCATCCCATCCATCCCACCCTATCCTATCTCACTCTTTTCCATCCCATCCTACCCTATCTCACCCCATCCCATTCCCATCCCCTCCCACCCTATACCACCCCATCCTATCCCACTCTTTCCCATCCCATTACCAGCCCCTCCCACCCTATCCCACCCCATCCCATCCCACTCTATCCCACCCCATCCCACCTCCCACCCCATCCCATTCCCATCCCACCCCATCCCATTCCACTCTATCCCATACTATCCCACCCCATCCTATTCCCATCACATCCCACCCCATCCCATTACCATTTTATCCCATTCCATCCCTTCCCATCCTATCCCATTCCCATCCCATCCCACTCGATCCCATCCCATCCCATCCCATCCTATCCCCATTACACCCCACCCCATCCCATTCCCATTTTATCCCATCCCCTCTCATCCCACTCTGCCCCATCCCATCCAACTCCGCCCACTCCACCCCATCCATTTATATCCTTGCCTAAATTCTCTCCAGATTAGCTGGCAAAGCAAAGTGTTCAGGACATCATGATGCAGATAGTCCGTTCTGACCATACTCATCCCACAGTTGTATTCAGTTTGCCTGAATTGACAAACTAGCTCAATGTTTAAAAAAAACAACTCACTGCCATCAAGTCAAGGCTGACTCATAGTGACCCTCTGTGGGTTTCTGAGATTGTAACTGTTTATAGGAGTAGAAAGCCTAGTTGTTGTCCCTCAGAGCTGCTGGTGGTTTTGAATTGCCAACCATGTGTATTGCAGCCCAACGCATAACCACTAGACCACCAGTTCAATATAAAGCTAAGGTTAAAAGAGTAAAACAATCTTAAGTGATTGTTTAAAAGGTGAGATGCCAGGTGCTTGATGAACTCTTTTATTTAAGCATTTCCCCCACTTTTATCAATTCTGACACATGGCACCCCCATGTATGCCAGAGTAGAAGTATGCACCTTACTACTTTCAATGACTGATTTTTTTTTGGAAGGCTTTCTTTCAGTAAATACGAGTATAGATGATTGCGGTAATATACTTCCATGGTAAAATTTTCAACATTCCAGATGAGTGCAATATGGGAAAAAAAACATTTAAATTTAAAAAAATTGAACCAGCTAGTTAATTGCATTAGATGGTCAAGCCATTTTCATTGTGTTATGGGAAAGCTCAGTTAAAATAATCATAATATCTAGTTTAGCTTTAAACCCATTCAACTGTCAATTTCGTGCTTTGCAGTTGGGTATTTTTTAAGGTCACAGGAAATAGCACATATGGTCTTCTCTTCTTCCATTTTCTACGCGTTTGTTTTCGCTGGTCCCACACTTTTAATTTTTTTTAAAAGTGGACTCTTCCAAAATACATGTGTGTACGCATGAATATAAGTTCTAGTGTAAAGATGCATTATGTGCATCACAAAATATACAAAAAAAACATAGGAGAGTGAGATTTCTAACCATCTAAATATACCTGTACTCCAAGGGAGTTTCTTGTGCATTTCAAGTTGTGATCATTCTATCTGGGAGACAATAACTTATACTATGGTGTCCCTGGGCAGTGCAAATAGTTAATGTCTTTGACTGCTAACCCAAAAGTTGGAGACTCGAGTCTCCCCAGAGGTGCCCCCAAAGAGAGGCCTGGCTATCAACTTCGGAAAAAGAAACCACTGAAAACTCTATTGAGCACCGTTCTGCTCTGACACATGTGGGGTCACCCTGAGTCAGAATCGACTCAATGGAAACTGGTTTGGAACATAAATGTATTTGCATGAAAATGTCTCTGAGACATGTTGAGCAAAGACAGCAAGTCGAAAAGCACTACATGTCGAATGCTCTCATCTTTGTAAAAATGACAATAAAGATATATGAGTAAATGATATATACATCTACATGCAATGAAAAATACATTGTGGTATCAGTTTAGGGGGGAGTCTAATTTGGCAGAATAGACACCAACTTCTCCGTGGAGGTGATCTCTCTACTGTGTTTGAATTTTACCATCAACTTCCCTACCCTAAACAGGAAAGAGACAACAAATCTTTTTCAAAAGGACACCTCTGCTTCCAAGTCATTCAACTCATTGCACCTCCCTCACTGAGGCATGGCGGAGTCAATCAGTCCAGGAAATGTGAGTTACAAACCAAAACAGGAACCCAGCTGGGAAGCCATTCTCTTGCTGGCGCTTTCATGGCTCCCACTGTAATTAAGGTGACTGGGAGGCTCGGCACCTACAAGCAAACCGAGAGCAATTGACAAGGACCCCCATAAAAGAAAATCTGAAATCAATTACCTGCTGAATTATGTTGATGATAGTGAATCAGTGCTGGAATGGAATCAAAGCAGTAGTTTTCGGCCAGGTACACTTTATTCTCTGCATTTGTGTGCACGTGGTAATGCTTCACAGCTCCTTTTTTATCTCTGTTCAAGAAGAAAGGATGTTAGAGGAGGATTAGAAGCAATTGTAGCTTGAGTTAATGAGAGCTCTGAGATGCGTTTGCAAATTTGGGAGAGGAAGGCGGAAGAGGCCTTCTGAGCCTTGACATCTGGCATTTCCCAGAAAGTGCAGATGGCCATTGGTAATTCTGGCAGCAGGCTCCTCATCGGTGGACCTTTGGTAGACATACAGAATTCACCTACAGTACAATCCCCACTTCTGGACTGCGCCTGCCTTGATCCACAAAAAAGCTGGGCTCTTCTTCTGAGGATTGAGCAGTGACTCAGGGGCACCCTCTGGAAGATCAGTTCTCTTTCAGGACAAGAATGGAACTACAAAGGCAAGTGGGCTGTGGGTGTTGTCACTCCAGAACATGGGTGGGATGTTCTTTGGGAATGCGGGGTGGGGGTAGAGAGGCAATGTGGATGGGCATGGCCTTTAATTCCTTGTCAGAACCTTTTCCACATAAGGCTCCCCCCTCCACTATTATTGTATTTCATTAAAAACACCAACCAACACCCCCCCAAAAAAAAAAAAACTCACTAAGTTTTGCTGGAGTCCCTGGGTAGTGCAAGCATTTTAACATATTCGGCTGCTCACCGAAAGGTTGGAGGTGCCAGTTTACCCAGAGATGCGTCAGAAGAAAGGCCTGGCAATCTCCATCAGGAAAAAAAATTAGCCATTGAAAACCCCATGGGGCAGAGTTCTACTCTGATGCCCACGAAGTAGCTATGAGTTGACATCAACCTGAAGGCAACTGTTTTATTTTTTTTCCATTGGCGTTTCCCGATTGAAGTTGTTTTCTTTGGACTCTTTATCTACTTGCTGATTTCTTTCACCAGTCACCTTCCAAACTGAATCTGGAGTCAAGAACTTGCCTAGGAGATTAGATTTGGCCCAAACCACAGGGCCAGAGGGCCACCAAAGGCTTGTTTGTCAATGATCCAAGTCATTCCCCAGCTTTTCCTGGGTTGGTCTTAGCCGCTATGGAGGTATCACAGCAGACAACGTTGTACACATGGGGATGCAACTTCTGAGATGGGAAAAGGTCACATGACCACTCATTGTCCATGTTGGAAGTAGGTGCTCTGTCCAAAAAAAATTCTTGAAATACAATAACTTTAAGGAAGCCACTTAAATGTCCCCCAAGAGGTGAACTGGGCGTATACAAAGAGTGGACGAGAGAGGTGAGTGTGGTTGAGGGAAAGCAGACTCTGTTGTTGGAGGCCCTGCCACTTAGGAGCTTGCTGAAAGGGTCTTTTAAAACCTTGACACTCCTTCCCTTCATCCTTAAAATGGTGCAAATACAAACCATCTTTCTATTTGCTGCGCAGGGTGGTTACAAGGAAGGAAGAACTCACACCCAATGGGGAAGTTGGCGTGTAGGACTCTGGACGGGCATTCGGATATTGTGACGATGTCTTGCATGGTATAACCATGGAGTATCTTTTAGCCCTAATTGTTGGGGGATGGAGCAGGGCAGACAGAATCCTTTCCCTCAACAACTACAGTAACTCTTATTCGTTTTTTAAATGCTTACTCGGTTCCTGGCACTGCTGGAAGAGGATACATGATTCAACTCACTTGAACCACAGAATGAAAAATCAGAATTACTATGTTCCTTTTTCACAAGAGGAAGCGGAGGCACAGAGGTTTAAACACTTGCCCATAAAGCTCTGAAATGGTAGCTTGAGGTGTTGAGCTCAGAAGTGTGCCAGCAAACTCATACTCTTCATCTGGCCAAAGGGTCCAGCACCCCGGAGAGAAGCTGCCCAGGAAATGCAGTTGCCCTGATTCTGCCTTCCCTGAATGGCGGCTCCATCTAGACTGACATATTCAAAACCAGACATGGGGAGAGGTTTTGTGGTTCAGCAGGGGGTTGAAGCTGAGAGTGGGGCCCCCATGGATATTTCTCTACTCTAGGTTGAGGCCTGCATGAAGGGGCGTCAGTCTACAGTTTTAAAGCAAACGCTTGCTCTGCTGTGCTCTTCCTTGCCTACGCTGCTGCTGCCTACAGGAGAACAGGAGTGGCTCACCCAGCCTACAGCCTGTTTGACTTGAAGGGGTGCGGATGGGGGAGGAGAAGGCATCCACACATAGTCCAATGCTACAGAAACCTTTTGATCCCAAAGTTGGGCCTTTTAAGATAGTCTCTTATCCCAAACTGTGACTGAGTGAGTAGCATAGTCAAGGGACATACACAGGAGACCAAAGCAATAAGGCCCTGGGATACTTACTTCACAGCATGGCTGAATAAGGACACCGTATACATCCCAACCTGGCTGGAATTTCTGACCATGAATGCTCCTTCTTTTCCCTGGAAGGGAAGGACCAGGTGCAAGACACAGAACATTTGCATTATTCTAGAGAACTCGTCTTCAGGTTCCCCGCCCCACCCCCTCCTTTTCTCCCTCAATCTCTTTATCCCTTAGATATTGCCTCTCCAGGTTTTACCTTCTCTAATACAGTTTGGTTTTGGTTCTTCGCGTGGGTCTCATCTTTTCATCTCTCCAAGATAAAATTTGAAACCTAATTGACCACGTGAGTCGGCATTGGCTTGATGGCAACCAGGCACCACCAGATCATGCCTATGGAAGCTTCCTGAAAATCCAGGATGCAGAGCTCAGGGTTGCACTTCTGTGCTCCACTTGTCTTTCTCAAGGGCTTGTGCTAACCGTGAGCGGGTCTAGATTCCAAGGGCGCAGGCAAGGAAAGCCATCACGGTGGCTAAGCGGAGGTCTGAACAGAGGGGCATCGCTTATACACATCAAAGAAGCATGGGGTGTGCGCGGTGTTTTATTAGGTTAAACCATCTCCAAGAGACCGCTTGCCATTGGCGAGTCCATTCTAAATAGCAATGCCCTTGCTCGATTCTGACTTAAGTGCCGACATAACAGAGCCATGGTTACACTGATGGCCTCCAGTCCATCCCCTCCCTGCGTTTCTGATAGGTCTTTGGATGGAGCAAACTCTTCGCATCTGACTCCTAACCAAAAGGTTGGTGGTTGGAGGGCACTCGGAGGCACCATGGAAGAAAAGTCTGGAGAACTGCTTCCGTAAGGATGGAAGCCAAGCACACCCCAGGGCGCTCAGTTCTACTCTGTAACACATGGGGTCACCATGAGTCAGAGTCGACTTGACCAGGGGTTGTGTATTTGTGTTTTTGTATGCCTGGTGTGGTCTCCCCTCACATCGACTCCGAGCTTGACCACGACACTTGTTTTGATACAGGGGACATCAGAAAGCCTAAAGGAAGCAGAGAACCCATAAATACTTGCACACACGGTGGGCTGGACTTCTTGGAACCCTATCTTACGATTACCATGTTGTGAGGAAGCCCAAGTTACTAGGGGAAGAGGTCACATGGAGCAACATTGAGGTGCACTGGTTGATAGTGTCAATAGACAGCTAACTGTCACTCTGGGAAATTCCCTAGGCAAAGCTGGCAGATATGCCTCCTGCACAGCTGACACAAGAATCGTGAGACATCCCAGATCACTGTTGTTTCAAACCACTCAATGAGAGGGTGGTTCATGAGACAGCAAGAAATCACAGAAACAGAGCAAGTGGCTAGACCTAAAGCACTGGGTAGCCTATGGGCTTGACAGCCAGCACCATGGTGAGCTGACTGTAGAATGAGCACTAAAGATTCCTTCTTAAGCCCACTACCGTAGAGGACCTGCAACAGAAAATAAAAGGGGGTGTTCTTGGAGGAGGTTTTAAAGGACAAGGAGATTACTTACCTTTTGTCTCAGCAACTGCTCAGACTGTGACCTGGAGATGTTACCTGCAAACCAGCTACAAAGAGAAAGAATTCCATAGTTGGACATTAAGAGTCTTTTAAGCCCATAACTTGTCGTGACTCTTTCTCGTCTGTGAAACGAGGTGGTGACCCAGATCAAGGAATTCCACACCCGAGAGATGCCTGAGATGTTTCCAAAGCACACATCCCTCAGTTCTACCAGCCACGCTCTGTACTTTTAAATGGGTGGCATTTAGGAACCCTTGATCTCCTTCCACCTGACCTCGAAGTTTTCCACCATTGCACCATTTTGAATGGAGGCCAGAGATGAGAGCAATGGCCAAGGTATGCCAATGGAAAAGTCAGAATCACTAAGGCTGGATGCACCTGTCTTTCAACTCTATTGTTTTCTTCACCTAATCTGATGGTTCTCAACCTTCCTAATGCCGCGACCCTTTAATCCAGTTCCTCATGTGGTGATGACTCCCCAACCTTAAAATTATTTTTGTTGCTACTTCATCACTGTCATTTTGCTACTGTTATGAATCGGGTGACCCCTGTGAAAGGGTCATTCAACAACCAAAGGGTCGCAACCAGACACACACTTCATAGCACCTGTTTTCAAAATGAATACATTTTTGTTCTTATTATTTAATCATTTTTTGATGTTCCAGACTTACAGAAGCACTGCAAACAGCGTGCAGAGATCTGTCCACATAACTCAAACCCAGTTCCCCATCATATTAGCATCTCACTTAGACATTCGACCCTCAAGGAGGGGAAGCTTAACTCCCCACTCTTTAAGTGTGGGTTCTGCACAGCACAGCGACTGCCTTCCAGTGCGTAACTGCACTGTGGAGACAGGGCAAGAGTAAATGTACAGAAGAGAAGCCCTAAAAGCACTGGCTTGGCCACGTGATGAAGGTTCTTGGACACAGTGAGAACTGATGGTAAGACTATGAGATGGTGCGATTAATGACACTTTGCCTCTGGGTCTTCCAACCAAGAAGTACAGAGAGAAAAGAAAAAAACCCCAGACAGCTCTGGTTTAAGTATTTGAAGCGAGGATGGTCGGCCTCAGTCTTGACTACTTTGGAAGCATCACCAGAAAAGATTCATCTCTAGCGAGGACATCATGTTTGGTAACGTAGAGGGAGATGCTCCCGGGGATAGACTGACACAGTGGTTGAAACAATGGCCTCAAATGACCCCATGATCATGAGGATGGCACCGGACTGCTCAGTGTTTCCAATTCAGTCATACCTAAGATCACCACTGTAAGGCAGAGGCAATTCCATAGTCCCTAACAATCACCACCATCACTAGGAGAAAAGAAAATGTCCTTTTTGTTTGTTTTCAGGGTAGCATTAGAGACCATCTCTGGTCATACTGGGCAGAAGCAGTTGTGCTGAACTGAGTCAAAGATTAAGTAGGCGAGTCAGGAATCTTCTTTAAAAATGGTCCTTTGTGTCCCTACGTCAGCCAAGACCCTCCCATCTTACTTCCTCTGTGGAGCTCAGCAGACCACAGAGCTGTTTCTCACAGGAGGTCAACAATGCCTTTGAGCTTTGGCCAATGTGGCATACTAAGGAAATGAGTAGGGTTTGAGGGTGGAATGGGCCATGAGTTTGGGGGGCTTGGGAGAACCTTTGGCCACAAGATGACACCTGAGGGGGAAGACGTATAGGAGGAGAGAGAGTGCAAGGGGAGGGTTGTAGGAGAAAATCAAGATGGCAGGCATCTCAGAACTTGGGAGGAATGAAGGGGAACTAGTTCTCTGGTCTTTGTATTAATGGTTGAGGGGATGAGAAAAGACCCTTAGACCAGCCTGGTAAGCAGCTCAGAAGACATAACCTTAAAGGCTTAATTTAGACATTTAACCTTGAATTTCCCCATTTGTAAAGTTGATGATAGTGGTGGAGGGGTGGCACGCTGGATGTGATAAGCTTGAAAGTCCCTTATACATCCTCTATAATTAACACTTGCAACATTAACTGGTGTTTTCTTATTAGTTGACATTTTAAGCTAATCAAGGTTAATCAAGTCTAATCAAAAGATTCTTTGGGGAATCTGAGGCAGGTTATATACATGTGGGAAGTTGAAGGAAGAGATCAGGAGAAAGGAGTCTTGAGAGGAGGGAGATCATGCATATGATTCCCCTTCCCCCCAGTGCCGGTACCTGGATACACACACTCACATGATCTCCCTTTTGTATATGTGTATGTATATGCATGTGTGCACACATGTGCACACATGTACAAAAGCACACTCAAACACACACATTCTCACATATATGTTTGTGTGTATGTGTGTGTATATATACCTACCAAAAATGGATTTCTTTTCAAAGCTACCATATATACTCGAGTATAAGCCAACCCAAAAATCAGCCAAAGCACCTAATTTTACCACAAAAGCGGCATAAAAATGCACTGGAAAACTTGGCTCATACACAAGTGTATTCGGTATGTATTTAAATATTTCTACAAAACAATCTTTTCACCTTCAAAGTACTGTCCATTATAATTGATACATTTGTCAAATCTATGATTCTGTTCTTGGAAACATTTGTCAAACTCATCTGTTTGGATGGCTGATAGCACCTCCCTATTTTTTCCCTTCACCTCTTCTACTTCAAATCGCTGTCTTTTCATGTCCCTCTTCATTCAAAAAAGCAAAAAGAAGTTGCATGGAGCTAGGTCAGGTGAGTCAGGTGTGGACCAAGAAAGGCATGCTGTTTTTTTTGCCAAAAACTGGTGCACTGAGATGGCTGCGTAAGCAGGCGCATTATCCTGGTGGCAAAACCAGTCCCACCTGCCACAAATCAGGCCTTTTTTTGGTCACCCATTGTTATGCGATCTTCTCAGAACCTTTAAATACAAAGTTTGATTAACAGTTTGGTCTGGTGGAATGATTTCCAAATACACCAGGAGTCCACATTTGCATTTGTTCGAGGTTTGTTACCAATGGACATTTCACCTTTTTTGAAATGAGAAAACCACTCATACACTTGAGTTTTTCCCATAGCACTGTCATAAGCTGTGTTCAACATCACAACAGTTTCTGTGGGATTTTTCCAAAGCATGAAACAAAATTTCACAGCTGCACACTGTTCTCTTAGATCAGCCATCACGGAAAAAAAAAAAGGTTCGAGCGATACAGCTTTTACAAAAAATTCACTGTGATCAGAGAGAACCTTCCCAGGCGACGCCACTGGGTGCACTAACTCAGAGCAAGTTGCTTGATGCTTGCCTAGTGGGAAAAATTTGTACTCCGCTCCACCCAGCACAATTCCAGTTTTGGGTTGTTTTGTTTTTTTTTTGTATATACATATGTATATGTTCACACACACACATATGCACACACATTCACATTTGTTTACACACATTCATACTTTGACCATGTGATAATGTTTCAGAGGCCTGGCTCTGTTTATTTCTCAAATTATTTCAGTGTTGCCATTTCAGAGCAGCAAAGGCCTACCCCTGAGGCCTGATTCTGCCAGGGAAAACTCACTCAGTGCGTTAGTCTCTAATGGCATGCAGAGTTCCAGTGACAATTTTAAATAATGTGTTCTTTACACTGTACAGTGTCCCAATCTGGATGCTACATGACCAGGTCATTCTAAAAATAGAATCTGTCAGCATCAATGCTATCCTGTTCAAAATTCTCAGGGGGTGGTACGTTTTAACTTCACGCCAGTTGGGCTCCACGTTAAGTATCTCGAAAAAGTTCTCAAACCAAAGAGGTCCGTAGGGAATAAGCAATCAGCGGATACAACACATCTACATGCTTTTGTCCCATATCTACGGGGACAAAGGGAAAATAAAAGGGACTCAGGCCAGATGATACCCAATGAACGGGTGCAGATGATTTAGATAAACCAGACAGGGCAACATACTTCCAGTGGAAATACTCTAACCCACTGCCATCTGGTACTGTCATCTAGATTAACGGCCCTGTGAGTTTGCCTTCTGTGTTAATGCCTTTGAAGAATAGAATAGAATGGAAACATCCATGATTAGCATGAGAGGAGCACTTATGGTGGGCAATACTCACTCATAGTCATTCAGGTTTTCCTCTTCTTCAGATGAGCTGGACTCAGGGAATCCCCTTAAGAAAAGGGGAAACAGCACAAATGGGGGCGGCACAAAAAACACCAGGAAATAAATATAAATGCCTAGCAGTGCACACTCAAATCCCACCCAGCTTTGATCCAACCTTAGGCTAGGTTGCCCCTTTTTGCACTTGGGGAGGGCGGTATCAGCAAAGTGATGAGGGAAGGTGTTCAGAATGTGGGGTCCGTCATGACAGAAGGGCTTTTTAGGTCAAGAGGTCCCCAGGAGGCCCCCGGGAACTCGGATTGCTTTGACCCTTCCATTAGAGTGGCCTTGTGAAATAAGAAAGACTAGTGACAGTGTTGGTGTAAATTTAAACAAATCTCTCTGACTGTATATGGAACAAGGACACCCTGGTGATGTAGTGGTTGTGCTGGGATCCGAAAGGTAAGCAGTTTGAAACCACCAGCAAGCAGTATGAAACCATCAGTGTACGGGGAAATTCTTCTAAACAAATACCTTCAAACTCACCGCTATTGAGCTTGATTCCAACTCATAGAAACCCGGGAAGACAGAGTAAAACTGCCACTGTGGGTTTCCAAGACTAGCGGCCAATGGGAGGAGAACATCCCGTTTATCTTCCATACTTAGGGAAGAGCTATTTGACACGTAGAGATGCCTGAGTCAGTCGTGCTCATTTTGGTGCTAGCACTTGTGTGTATCATGAATGTTGTTGTTAGGTGCTGTCCAGCCAGTTTCAATGCATAGCAACTGTCCCATGGGGGTTCTGGGAGCAGACAGGCAGGTTTTCCTCTTGCAGAGTTGCTGGGTGGATTTGAACTGCCGCCCTTTCTGTTAGCAGTTGAGTGCTTACGTGTTATGCCACCAGGGCTCCTTAGATCATGAATAATAAAAAATCCGGGTGAGGACAACTGTAACCAAAGAGTCATCATCAGCTCAGATCCACAGCAACTAACATCAGTGAGGGCAGAGAGAAGACCCACCCGGCTGAAAAAGCTTATGTGTCCTGGAAATGGAAACGATCGCCAACGTGGTGTGTCTTTGCCCACCCGGGGGCCAGGCAGCGGGCAGTGTCTGTGAATTGCACTTACCATGAGATTTTTGAGGTGCTCTGGTTTACAAAACGCGTTTCCCTTTGGTGACTTCCTGCGAAATCTTCATTGCTACAAAAAGACACACTTCCTCAATTTCTATCTATTTAGACATTGTGAACCCCCGGAGTCCTCTCATTCTGAGATGTTTTTGTTTCCATTCACATTTGGACCCACGTCTCTCCCTCGATCTGGCCATGTTAAGCTAAGAAATCATGTTCGTATTTGGGTTTTGCATGGACTCCCACACAGCGATTGGTTTGCCGCTATTGTGCCATGAAAAGAAAGTGCTAATAGTGGTTCATCGTGACCCCAAACAATAGAAAACGGGACTGAATCAATCATCAGCACTGGGTGCGCCCTGATACTCTGGTAGCTCTGCGGAGGGCTGTATTTTGATGCTTTTCAGTAAGTGGTTGTCCACCCCACCCCACCCCGCTTTCTGTTGTCATGACCAGGAAATGTTTGCACATTAACAAGCAGTGTCACCCCATCTGGATACAGACGGGGCTTCGGGATGTTCTCCCGCTCCACCGGCCATCATTTCAGCTCTTTTATTTTGGGTATTAAGCGGGGTCCAAAGGCTGTTTTATCTGGAATAGAAGACTGATTTCCTGTTTGCCTTCAGAGCTAAGGTTCTTTTTCAAAAACACACTTCACAGTGGCCGGCTTCCTGAACAAGGAAGTGCTCCTCTGGCCCCGTTTCCAGAAAGACCTGGAGAAAACCTGCAAGTCAGAGTGTCTCCCTCCTAGCTTGCCTAAGAGCCTCGGCCCTGGGGGCAGCTTTGCAAATTCCTATCTTCCGGAGACAACTCTTGTTTTCCAAAGGCAAAGCCGTGTACCGAAGGCCTGGGTGGTGTGATTGCTGACTCGCTCAGTTGTTCACTGAACGGCTGCCAGCTAGAGTTCACCCAGGGGTGCCTTGGAAGAAAGGCCTGGAGATCTCCCTCCTCCCCCAACACACAAACCAACCCAGTCACTGAAAATTCTCTAAAGCACAGTTCTGCCCTGACACATGGGGGCGGGTCACCATGAGTTGGGATTCGACTTGGTAGCATTTAGTGACTGATTTTGCAAAGAAATTCGTCTTCTGGTTTGTAAGGACACACAGAGAATGCTTGTCGAGTAAGTGTATCACTTAAGTGTATACACACACGGTTCTTGCTGTTGTTGTTGTTGTTGTTAGATGCCCTCAAGTCGGTTCTGGTCCATAGTGAACCGCTCTACACATACTGGACTAGGAGAACTAAGCAAATAAAAATAAAACAGAAAAAACTAACTCACTGCCACCGAGTCCATTCTGGCTCATAGCACCCCTATAAGGCAGGGTAGAAGTTCCCCTATGGGGTTCCTATATTGTAAATTTTAATGGGGTTAGAAAGCCTCATCTTTCTCCCGAGGAGCAGCTGGTGGTTTTGACCTGTTGACCTTGCGCTAGCAGCCCAACTTGTAACCACTACACCACCAGGGCTCCATTAAAAGCCGTGAGGAAGAGGGGCATGCTTTTAAGTGAGGAAAATGATCAAGATGTTGAGAGGAAAAAGGCAGGTGGCAAGGAAGGCTATGTGGCAAGCGTCCACTTGAGTAATTAAATCTTTTCTGCATGGAAAACAAACTTTTTGTTGAGGCATGCAGGTGGAATATTCTGCAATGTCTATCTGCTTTGAAAGGAACACATTTCACTTTGCTGGAGAAAACGATGGAAAAGCACAAAAACTGGTAAAATGCTATCTGAGAACATGGCTGCTTTGTTAGAATCCAAGCTCCACGAAGCCCTTTTTGTAATTATCCTATTTCCCTCACTGACACGACACTGCGGGTGGGATTAACCAGGCCAACACTGAATAGCTAGCTTTCTGGAGTCCTAGGCCAAAATCCAGGGTCAGGACTAGGGCCAAGTGTCTGAGGCACCGGACTCAGAGGTACCAAATGGAAGGGACATTAACAATTGAAACAAAACTAGACAAGAAAACTTCAGCCAGGAAGATAAAGGCTTCAGTGTTGTATCTAAACATGGAAAGAAAAAAAAGCACAGTTAAGTGCTTGATTACTACCCTAAAAGTTAGCTGTTCAAAGGCACCCTAAGGCACCCCAGAAGAAAGTCAGGGCTATGAGTTTCAGGGAAAAGCCTGTGGAATAGCTCTGCTCTCCACATAAGGGCTCGCTAAGAATCAGAACCTATCCAACACGTAACAAGAAATGGCAGCCACTGCGTTGGTGGCTCTGCAGCAATCGTTCAGGGAGAGGGGACCATAATGCACCCATTGCACTTGGGGTCAGACTCATTGATCCTCTCCTTCCACAAGAATTCTGGGCTACAGGCAAATGAACGTAACCCTTCCCCCGGGCACCACATGAAAGTCAATACGCTTGGCCCCTAGCTCCAATCCGCACCAAGAGGGTTCACCACACTGGTGACACAGTGCATGACACGAAGGCACTTACATTTTTTCAAGTTCCATATGGCCCAGTGGCTGTATCATCGGCACAGTGAGGCATTTGCTTTAGGTCAAAACCAAAGGAATGGACAGAATAAAGGAATGAGAGGGCATGGGAGGAAAGAAAGAGAAGAGACACATGATGAGTCAGAGACTGCTCTGTGTGCACGTTGGCGGACGACGGACGTTGGCATTCTTCAGAATACCCAGGACTGCGTGAAAAGATGGTGGGCAGGGGACACGGTGACGGGGAGGACAAAGGAAGGGTTTCTCTGGGTCCATCTCTCAATTGGATACAACAGTAACTGAGCATTGACTCTGGGCCAGGCTCGGTACCAGATCCCAGAGAGAGACATGATGTAGGTCCTTGCTGCCCTCAAGGCATTTTGAATTCTGGATTCTGGTAGAATCTTAGGGCTGAAAGGACCAATCAGCTCAGCTATGGCCCTGCCTGAAATGTTACCCAGCTTTTAATTCATCACCAAACACAATACAAAAATAAGACCACACTAAGCTCTTTCATAAAGAAGATATATGTGTAGCATGGTGTGTTCTGGAATGGGGGCTTCCAAGGGGGGAGGGCAGTCAAGGGGATGGAGTAAAATGTCCAGGCCTCTGCTTCTCAGGCTTCTGGTGCAAGCACTGAACCTTTCCGGAAAGGACAGCTTCATCTAATCCAAGCTCTGACAGCTTCGAGGCTGGGGTCCAAGCCTTGGAGGAGGCGGGGCTGGGTAACGGCTACTCTACATTCTGTACAGTCAGCTTGCAAGCTGGGGTTTTACCTTTTCAGTTTTCTTACTTGCCACCAGTCAGGGCAGTCTTCCCTTGGGATGTACCGCATGTTGACGTTTGGCTGGGAGCCATAGGTTTTCTTTGAGTCGCCATCATACTGGGCTAGTGTGGTACTTGAAGATGGTTTCTCCATTTTGAGAACAGGAACGGCCCGAGGAATCTTCAGCTTTGGAGGACAAGAGATTTATTGTCATCACAGGAAGTCACAGATCCAAGTACTGGGAACTGACAACCAATGTATGTCAGTTCTTAAACTTCAAAAGGAAGGAAAGAAGGGGGAGGAAGACAGAGGAAGACAGACAGACAGAAGAGAAGGAAGGAAGGGAGGGAAGAAAGCATCGATACGTATTGGTGAGAGTATGGATCTCTCCTACTTTGCTGGTTAGAGAAGGAAGCGGTACAACCATATTGGAAAGTTGTTTGTCAGACCCACTACAACTGGACATGCATCTTATGACTCAGAAGTTCTACACATCTACCCAACTGTCATGTGAAAGCAAAGGCCATCTAAAACAATGTTTCCTAGAAAAATTCTCTTGATTTGATCAAAGCTGGAAATTACCTAAATACACACCAAGAGTACAAACGAATAACCATCCTTGGGTGCAGTTGGTGGAGTACTGACCTCCTACAATGATGTCTATGCCATAACACTATGAATCTAGTTAGTAAAAATGGCAGAAAGGGGCCTTGCAGATGTGACATAGTTAAGGATAGATGGGCCCAATAGAATCAGAAAGGTTCTTGTAAGTAAGTTGTGAGAAGAATGTGAAGGACAGAAAGGAAAGAGGATGCACACCACTGACTCTAAAAATGCAGGAAGGGGCCACAAGCCAAGGAATGCAGGTGGTCTGTCTCAAAACCAAATTCGCCGTCATCGAGTCAATTCTGATAGCAACCCTACAAGATGTAAACCGGGCCCTGTGGGTTTCCTAGACTGTAATTCTTTACGGCAACAGAAAGCCTCATCTTCCTCCAGTGGAGCCCCTGGTGGGCTGACCTTGTGTTCAGCAGCCCAGGTGTAACCCACTAGGCCATGACTAGAAGCTGGACAAACCAAGGAAAGGGATTCTTTCCCTGAACCCCCCAGAAGGAGCTCAGCCCCGCAGAGCCATCTTACATTGGACATCTAGGACTATAAGCTAATAAATGTGTGTGTCTTTGAGATACTGAAGCTGTGGTAGTTTGTTACAGCAGCCAAAAAAAAAAAAAATGGGCACAGTGGTATAGTCACAGAAGCGGATGCTAGCCGCAAGGAGAATAAACCACAACCACAAACCAAGAAATGGGCAAATCTCACAAATGCAATAAGGCAGCCAAGGCAGCCAAGAAAATTCTGCATTCTTTACAATTCTGTTTCTATAAAAGTCAGAACCAGGCAATCTGTGCTGTGATACCAATGACTATTGATGACTCTTGGCAGGGTGGGGTGACTGCAAGGGGTAGCACTGAGGCTGCTTACCACAAGGTTGGTGGTTCTAACCCACCAGCCACTCTGGTGGAAGAAAGATAAGGCTGTGTGCTCCCGTAAAGAGCTACAAGCTTGGAAAACATACGGAGTCGTTCTACTCTGTTCTGTAGGGTCACTATGATTCAGACTCGACTCAATGGCAGCGGCTTTGGTTTCATTTGGGTTTCGGAGTTCTGGTAAAGGATCTTCGGTGGTGCACTGGGGTAAGTATTGGGTTGCTCACCCAAAAGGTCAGAAGTTCAAACCCATTAGCAGCTCCATGGGAGAAAGATGTGGCTGTCTGCTTCTATTGAGATTCATAGCCTCAGAAACCTTGCGGGGCAGTTTTGTTCTGTCCCATAGGCCGGGTTACTGTGAGATTCAAGAGCAGTGAGTTTGGGGGCTTGGGGGTCTGACGCTCTTTCGTTTCTTAATCAGAATTGAGGTGATCCAGGTGTGTTCAGTTTGTACAAATGCATTAAGCTGAACCATTAAAACATGTGCCCTTTTTTCTCGGCGCATGCTATACTTTGATGCCAAATTCCTGTGCCAATGGGTATCAGCTCTGAAGAGAATGTTTTTTTTCACACGGGACTTTATTTTCCTTCTCTCCGGGGCTACGGTGTATTTTGGCTGAGGTTTTGACGTCCTGGAAAGTTTAGTTATCCAGAGCGTGTTATTTATGAAGCTGTGAGGTGGGGATTCTCCAAAGAGAAACACAGTGGAAAGTTCCCTCGGCGGAAATCTGGCCCGTGTGGTGGGGCAGCTGACTTTATTTATTTTCTCGGCATAGCAAAGTCAGCCCCTCACGGAATTCTCTGGTAAGAACAAAACAAACGAAAGCATGCTTTCCACAATACCCTCTTGGGGCCCAGGTCCACTTGGGCAGCTGGTAATCAAAACAGGCTGCTAGAACTCTCGGC